CAATTTATCTAATTTAGTTAATCTATTTAAATGCTTCTTATATTACTCGTAAAAGATTTTTGTAAAAAAAAAAAAAAACAAGTTCTTGGTCTTTCCTATCACGGTTTTCTTCAAACTAATCCATTCACGCTAAAATTCCTAAATATGATCATTTATATACATCATATTTTACATATCCAAACATATACAATGTTTCAATCTAAGCACCTTACCAATGCATTTAGTTTTACTAAAAAATAGTATATTATTTATTATTTCAATATTATTATAGAGTTTCATCTCATAAAATAACTCAGAAGATATAAAAGTTTGAGGATTATTCGATTACGATAAATAATGGAAAACACGGTTGCTGTTAATAGAACCTCTTACTTTTTTTACCTAATAATAAAAAACTGTACAAAAAATTATTATCTCTAAAGAGATGATAATTGATGGAATCAATACAATTGAATGAAATGTGTTGTATGACCATCTCGATAAATCGGATCATCCGTGATAGACGCGCGACACAGAGGACATGATCGTTCTCTGTCAAGCCAGGTCGAGACGCATGTCTCACAAAAAATATGTTTACAATGAAGTCTAACTGGTGTAGTATATTCTTCATGGCAAATGGCACATATACCGCCGGATGCAATCAGCTGTTCCTTCGTCGGAGATACTCCAAGACTCTATAAAGAAAGACATACACAATATGATTATATCATAGTATGACAATTTTATCCCTCAATTCGCAATCATATTTTTACTCCCTCCGTTTATAATCTGAGTTTTTTATGCCCAGATCAAGTTCTTTTTCCAGATTTAAAAAAAGGTGGAAAAATTTAACATCTTTATTACATTATCGAATTGTTTTCTCGATTATTTTAGGAAGAATTTTCGTCCTTTATTTCGGAGAAATTTGAGAATAAAATTTCGCTTGTGCAAAAAGACCTAAATTGTAGACGGAGGGATATATTCACATGTAAAGATTGTGCGTACCACATTTTGGAACAGTTTCCATGCAGCAGTGCGAAATAGTTTTAGACGCGACAGCAGATCGTTACCCTTGCTCATTGTATACATTATCGAAAAGAAAATTCCCACGATTTTCTCTTGACCTTGATACGTTTCAAGCAGATAATATAACCATGGCTGGACAGGTGCGACGCATCGATAAAGTTGTGACGTTGCTTCTACCATAAGATAATATTTTCCCTGAAATTTTATTTATTTCTATCTTATATATCCTATATATATATATA